TAAACGAAAAATGAGTAATCTAGTCGATTTTAATAGCTAATACAACTTTGCTTATTGACAATCCCACTACGGAATGGGATGTGAGAAAATGCCTTGCCTTCTCTGTGACCTAAGACACATGTGGCATTGTGGCTTTATGGTTAATGTGTCGACATTACATTGCACTCTCATGGTCCGGTCCCTCTGGGGATGCCGATGAGAACAGCTTTAGTGATAGGAAGGATAATTCAAATTCAATAGAAGCATAAGGTCATATCATTGTGAGAAAATTCCCCTACCTTTATGGACAAGATGAACACATCTCATGTATTTTATATTGTTATCTGTTGATTGCACATGACATTAATTTAAATATGGGAAATTTATCAGCCTTAATTTTATTAATTATGTATCTACCTAGACCCATTTCCGAATTTTTTATCTCTTCCCTGACTTTTTATACTTTTTCATGCCAAGTTAATCACTTCTATTTGCTTAATAGGTACCCCTATCCCATCCTACGGTATATGCCGAACAATCATCGGATTTGCATAGTAATCTAGCAACAGAGGCTGCAGCAGAGCTTTTAGCGGACGCTGGCGATGAAGATGTGAATCAGGTGGACCACAATTCTAGCAGACGAGCAGTAACTCTTAAATTGAGCAGAGATGATGTTCATGGTGGTAACGAAGCAAATGAAGAATTCAACAAACTTGATGAGGATTCCGAGGGTAAGCCTATCTTTTCTTTTAAGGCTAATTAATGTAATAGATTTTCTTATTTATAAGTAGGTTTATCTAAACTACCGCACCTACATTTATTTTTACCGTTTTTTTCTTTATCTATGAACTAAGATTATCTAAGTCGTAATCACTACTTTTTTACCAAAATGTTTTGTACTTAGACGAGTTAGGACTTATTGAGAGATAAGAAGTTATTGTTTAGTTTAATTTCTCTTTAAGAATACACTTATTTCATACCTTAATATCCTTCGAATCTTGCTCTATTTATTTATTTCGTTCATGTAGGCTTGTGAAGACATTTCTATCCAATATCTCGATTGCAATAACAACTTGCATTTAGCTTAGGTGTTTTTCCTTGCATTCTTCGCTTATCATTAAAACGGATACAATCTTCATCCTTCTAGATACAAAAATGCCTCCTACCGCTGGATTCACAGACCCTCTGGCGACTTTGGCACTGGTTGCTGCTCGCCGCAATGACTCCTCGGGTAAGCTTATATTTCACTTGAATGTTAACTATTTTCGTATTCGCTTGATAGCTAGAATGTTGTGACATTGTGATGAGTGGCGTGGGTTTAATATATATTAACCAGTTCTGTAAGGATAAGGTTAGTTTTATAGGATCTGATGCTCGCAACCAATTGGATCATTTCAGCCTTATCTGCAGAGAAATCATTTGGCTTCATCTTTACCCTCAACTAGCAGGAAAAAATATATCCATGAAAAGGGACCTTCATGGCCTTGAATGATAATGATTACTTAAAATTGAAAAGGGAATAGACA